GAGTCGGGCGACCAGCTCTGGATCTCGCGCTACATCATGCTGCGCGTGTGCGAGGACTTTGGTGTCATTGTGTCGTTTGACCCGAAGCCGATTCCGGGCGACTGGAACGGCGCCGGCTGCCACACCAACGTGTCGACCAAGGCGATGCGCGAAGACGGCGGCATGGCCAAGATCATCGAGGCGCTCGAGAAGCTCAAGCTCAAGCACAAGGTGCACATTGCGGTCTACGGCACGGGCAACGAGCGCCGGCTCACGGGCCGCCACGAGACCGCGTCGATCGACCAGTTCTCGTACGGCGTCGCCAACCGCGGCGCGTCGATCCGCATTCCGCGCCAGGCCGAAGCCGACGGCAAGGGCTACTTTGAGGACCGCCGCCCGGCCTCCAACATGGACCCGTACGTCGTCACGGGCCGCATCATCAAGACGATCACGCTCGACGAAGCCTAAGTGTATAGCTTGTATCTGCAGTCGACACGGACAGTGGATGGAACAAGATGTGTTGTATATCAGCTTCTTTGCTATTGAATCGCGGTGGCAGACCGCGCATAAGCGCGTCACATTGCTGGCAGACGACTGCGCGACGTCTCCTGTATTGCGTTGTGTGTCATCTGCCGCGAGTTGAGCATGCGTGGGCCTGAGAGAGCCCCAGCGCTGGTTTCTGCAACGTGCACAGAGGTGTTTTGGCCACGCGCTAACTGCTGTGGCTAGCAGGTGCACACAGACAACCAACCCGCTCAGTGCCTGTCGGAAAAGCATCATGGTGCCAGCAACGATCCGGAGGGTGCAAAACTAATACACCAAGAACCCGACACGCGCTCCCGGCTTCGACTCTTGCACCGCGACCGCGTCGACGCAGACACGGCCCCTTGACGAGAGCTCGAGCGCGAGCTCACCGTTGCGCTGGCAGACCTGAACCGCCGCCCGTGCCAAGCCATCATTGAAGCGATCCTCGACATCAAGCGGGGTCTGGAAGAAACAAGTTCAAGAGCACAAGACGAAAGCGGCAGTGCAACGCCATCTCGTGGAAGCCGCTTGATGCACCAAGTACCACTTGTCCCGCGATCGCGCTCCTGCCTCCGCCGGCCTACATCAAGTTCCTCAACCGAGTGTAATACACAACGAAGAAAGGCCGACAATTTTAGCTAGCATAGTTTATCTATTGAAATAGACGACCCACTTCAACAACAACGATCACCAAGAACCAACGCCGCGTGCAAGGATTGCATACTCTGCAACCTAAACGTCCTTGTTTGGATCCGCCGCGCTGTCGTGAGACAAGCTGAGGCCAGCGCACTAAAGCACGATCCAAGCGCTCGAACACAACCAGGCACTTTGAAGACACTTGAGTGACACCGCCGATTGATACCGCTAGCTCAGAACTCTACACTTCAGAGACTGTGGCTGCATGGCGCGGGATCACCAGATTTAGAACCGCTGGTTGCGTGCATGGGAGCGCCAGGTGACCGAGCGTGAGGGCTTCCTACCCTTCCGTGTAACGGCATTCATAGTCGACATAGAATCCGTCGATTTGTATTGTTAAGCGATCAATGGCGGTCGTTGTCCGGATAGCACCGCCTCTCGCCATGACCTCGATGATCGCGCTGCTCTGGGCCGTCAACGCCGCTGCGTTCATCGGCGTTGGTGTCGCCATGACGCAGTGGTCGCTCGTCGCGACCGGCTCGTTCCTTGTCGTCTTTCTCGGCTACCTCAGCGCGTCCTTTTCCTCGACATCGTGTTTTACCCGTCGCCGTCGCCGCGGGCTCAGCCCCAAGCGCCGGACCACAGCGCGCTCACGCTCTTCAATCTGCTCGTGGCCTCGGTGTTTGCAATGATGGCGGCCGAAGGCCACGTGCGTGGCCTCTCGCGCATGACCTTTGGGCCGTCGCCGCCGCCGCTGTCGATGGCGCTGCAGGTCGGCCTCGCCTGCGTCTTTGAAAACACGGTCGAGTACTATTGGCATCGGTTTCTGCACACGCGGGCGCCGTACGCCCGTGTGCACAAGGTGCACCATTACTACAAGTCGCCGCGGCCCTTCGACGACATGTACATGCACCCGGTCGAGGGCATGGCGTACTACTGGGTGCTGTACGGGCCGCCGTATGTCTTTGCGATGCATTGGCAGAGTTTTTCTGTGTACATGGCGCTCATGGGGCTCTTTGGCTTGCTCGACCACTCGGGCATTGCCGTGCGGATGCCGCTTGTGTACGACACGCGCGACCACGAGCTCCACCACCGGCGCGTCAATGCCAATTACGGCTTTCCGTTTCAGTACTTGGACGTTCTCCACGGCACGTACGTGGCGCCGCAGACGACAAAGCCACTTTAGTCAATCTATTGTACTATTTAGTCGATCGTAATCTTTAGTCAATCGTACGCTTTAGTCAATCGCAGTCAATCGTACTTCAACAAAAGATTTCAAAATCGTTCAAGTCGTATGCCTCGTCGCTCAAGCGATCGCACGACGTCCTTCGTTCTTGATGGGCTGCCAAGCGTCGCCACTCTTCCCGCTGTCGGCGTCGCACCGATAAGCAAGCAAACGCAATCGCTCTGTCTAAGGTCCGTCATATTACGAGCAACCCGTGGGTCGTGTCAAGAGAACGACGCAGAGGCTTCCGAAAAGACCCGCTGGGAATCGGTCCACCGGGGGGCCATCAAGTTGTCTCACTGAAAGTTTTGTCGGGACAAAATAGCGCTTGCAACCGTCGACGTGTGCACTCCAATACAATTTACTACCAGCCGCAAGACGCGAGCAGCGAGATGGAGCCGTCCAAAATGCGTGCCACCAACACGGTCGCGCCGTCGGGCATCCTCGTCGCGCCCCGCGAGCATATCCAGACCGTCCTGCCATGGACGACACGAGTCGCGTTCGCTCTTGGCTGTCTCTGGAACCTCCTCACGCCGCTCAGAGCCTGGAAGCTCTCCCGATATGGGTTCGTACCCACGTCCAGCACCGTCGTGCGCAATCTCGATTGGGACTCGGAACTCAACGGCGCGTTCCTCACGTCGCTCTACGCGGCGGCCGGGATGGACGCTGGCTACCCTCGGAACGCCACGCGCTACATCAACGTCGTCCTCGATTTTCTCGTCGCACCGCGCTCGCGTGCGCTGTGGGCGACCGGCTATGCCAACTCGTCGCATGTGTACCAGATGAGCCTCAACGGACGGCCGCGCGGTGAGGATCTTGACGTCGCTGTTGATGAGACTAATCGGACGGTAGTTGGCAGGGCAGTCGCGGTCGCCCTTCTTGTGTAAGAGGAGTAAAGAGGAGTAAGAGGAGTGTGTACCAAGAGGTCAGCGCACGTCTTGGCCAACCGGCTGCAGCCGTGCGCTGACCTCTTGGTACACACGGATCAGAACGGCTTCATCCGAGGACGCTCGATCATGCACAACATTGAGCGGCTAGAAGGTCTGCTTGAGTACGCCCGCCGCTACCAGCCCGAGGCAGCCATCGCGCTCCTCGACTTTGAAAAAGCTTTTGACCGCGTCGACCACGGCTACTTGCTCGCGGTGCTCCGCAAGTGGGGTCTCCCGCAGCGCTTCTGCACCATGGTGCAATGCTTGTACTCGGGACGCCGATCCAAGATCCTCGTCAACGGTGACCTCTCGTCGCCCTTCTGTATCAAACGGGGTGTA